TGTGGGAGATGTTTCTTTCTGGTTTTCCTGCTGTTCAAGTAGAAATTGCACGACCGCCCCCGAACTCCCCAGAGTAAGAGCATGCACACAACACCCTCTTCCTTTCTTTGTCCGCTGCGTCAATAATTTTGTCATGCCAAATTGCCTAATCCCCAAGTTCCTTACCAGCCAAACAGTTTTTCTCCAGCTATAATTATGGGTAAGTCTTTTAATCTCTTCCAGTACTCAAATGATGGTATTCTTTAATATTTAAGATAACTTTCTGGATCAGACAAACATCCCATGATCAGGGTTTTTGGGGACCAGACATGTTCTCGGGAATCGTGCCCCTTCTGTATAATGGGCAACGCTTTCCTTGTTGTTTCAAATGGATTGCTTGGTGCCATGGGAGCACTCCCAGTGCCCCTCTGCCCTGCAAGATGCTGGAGAGATGCTAAGGGTCAAAAGGATATGAACAAAAGGATGAGAATACAAACAAATGGTCAATCTGCCCTTCTCAGTCTTTGGCGTGACTGATATTTTTGAGGCCCATGAGGCCATGCTCCAGGGGTGTACCATTTTCTGTAGCCACTTTGCAGATATTCCAGAACCCATCCAGAAGTTGTGCTTACATTTCCTTGTGTAGCATAGTTAACATCACAGCCACTTACAGCAACGACGGTACACAAACACAGCCGCGCAAGCAAGACAATGACTATGCAGCACGCAGTGAAGCTCGAATCTTCTTTGTACCAGGGAACTTCTTGATGATTCACTGCTGGTCCACATCCTGGAAAACACAAAGGCAGAAAAGGGAAGGGCTTAACCCCCTTTAAGTTAGTTCCTGTCATGGGTTCACTTGACACTGTGGCTGGCTTGACCCTGGCCCTGGCCCTGGCCCTGGCCCTGCTTGAGCTCCTTCACAGATTCCCCTCTTTGCATCTTGAGAGGCTGCTTTCTTACCAGTCTTTTCTACTTCAAGTGACAGCTGCTGCTAGATTTGTAGATGTTAGGGTCGGAAGGGACGTCAATAGATCATCGAGTCCGACCCCCTGAATGGGCAGGAGAGATAGTTGGGTCTCGGTGATCCCAGCTAGATGCATATCCAACCTCTTCTTGAAGACCCCCAGGGTAGGGGAG